ATGATTGAGACCATGGTTCACTGCTAGCTTCCTTTCTTTCGCTGCCCTCTGCCTTCTTGTCAGGATTTGGTAGGGCAGCCAACCCCCAGGTCCAGAGCTCCTCCTGACGGTGCACAGCCCTGACTTCATCCTGTGGTTCCTCCCCCTCCAGTGGAATCAGAGAGAGTCCACACGAGAGATGTGGCCTAGGACCTATCTGCCCTACTTTCTCAACTATTTTAAGCCAGAAAGCTAAATTTTGCTTTCAACCAGCTGAACAAGATCAGCCTTTATCCCAGAACTGACAAGGGTGCCCACTCCATCCAATACCAACTGTTAACTGGAAAAGTCACAGGCTGAGCTCACCAGTGCATGCCCTGTGGCTGGGTGATACACAGTCATTTCCAGACGGCTGGCCTAGGCCTGGGTCTCTGGGCCTGTGGCCACCACACCACAGACCATGTAGCAATGATTAAAGAAGTCGGCAAGCAAGCAATTAGCCTTGAGGTAATTATTCTAATTAATCCAATCGGACTCTGTTTTAATCTGCCCCATTCAGCCAACAGAGAACAGGAGAAGGAATGACAGATAAAGTGATATGAAGGTAAAAAAATATTTCCCTAGATGACAGCATTAAGAGGGGACCCACCCAGGCCTAACATGGGAAGGTTACAGAAACAACTGCCCACTAGGTTTGGAAAGGAATTTGCAACACTTCCAGAAGATTCCATGACGCCTTGCTCTAAATGCCCAGGTTTAGACACTGCTGAGTCAATGTTTGCAACGCACCGACATCCATGCTGATTACTATTAAATATAAAATTTTATTCCTACCATGTTGTCTTGGACGGGTACAGACACCATTGCCACCACCACCAATTGAAGTCTGGCTAAGATGCTTACTACTGGAATCCCTCCCTATCTTCACGGCACCACTGTTTTCACTGGTCCTCCCTTCCAATCTGCAGCTTTACTGCTCATCACCTCTGGGCTAGGATCTGTACCAGGAAACGAGAGAAAGCATCACTTCTTACCAGTTTACATGCAGGATTTGATGAGGGGCACTACTAATAGGCAGGTGTTCATCCACCTGCAAACCAGGTAAACTAGGTAAGCAGCTGTGAGAAGATTTAATTAGTGGAAGGGTCCAGACTCTAGAGCAGTGACTCTCAACTAAGGATGATTCTGCACTTCCCCTGCCCCAGCATTTGGCAGTGTCTGGAGACTTTCTGGTTGTCATAAAAACCACTATTGGCACCTAGGAGATAGAGGCCAGGAATGCGGCTACAGTCTACAATGCCTGAACAGCCCCACACAATAAAGAATTATCAAGTCCCAAATAACAATAGCACTGTTGAGAAGCCCTGATCTAGAGTTCACCAGAGCATCCTCAACCACAATCTCTATTAATGAACTCCATCTGCCTCCCATCAACATCCAGCCACTCTTACCTACGGTCACTCCTGTTACTGCAGCCAAAGACGCTGCTGTTGTATACTTTCTCCACCTGGCTCATTCCTAGTCACTTTTCAAATTCCAGTTCACTTCCTCCCCAAAACTTCCATCACTCCAAAGTGGGAAAGACGTCCCCCCACTTCAGTGTGCTTCTGTAGTTACCTTCCCGGGCCATAACTTACCCACCTGCCTGAAGCCTCCACAGGGCTTGAACTCCATGAAGGGAAATAACCATGTTTCAGGCTCCACCAAATCCCTACTTCCTTCCCCAATGAGAGAGCAGGGGATCACTGAGTGGTTGTATATGAAAGCAATCACCCATTTAAGTACCTACCCTGTGCCAGGCCCTATCTTAGACAACAAATAACCATATTTCATTCTAATAGGCTTCTGAAATTGGCATCGTCCCCACTTACAGATGGGAAAGCCAGCTCAGAGAACGCCTACAAGATCCTAAAGCAAAAGACAGAAAAGCTGGATTCAAAGCCTGGGGCAGCACTTTTCAGGACATGGCTGAGCCTCCCACACTAACTCCACAGCCAAGTCTGAATCCAGAAGGGGTTGACAAGGACTGAGAAAGCTTTAGGACTATTCTGAGGAAAATTCTTTTCTTGATGATGCAATCCTGTTACTGATCACTAACAGACCTGCATGCTAAGAACTCAAAACTTCTCTTCTTCAATCCAGGGTGTGCATGTGTTAAGAAGAGGAAGAGTCCCAAAACCAAAAATGCCTTGTGATCTTATTAAGTACCAGACCACTACTAGACCCTCCTGACAACTACCCTGAGGGCCAATGACCACACAGAAAATATCCCACTAAAAGACCAAATGGTCCTTGTATGAGGTCGTTTTAGCACTGACATCCCTTCAATGGAGTCAGACCCCAACCTGCCTTACACATTGAGCACTGTGGGAGGGTGTGTCCTGGAAATCCCTTAAAATCTTAAAGCATTCTGCCAAGACATCCATCTGGGAATGCCACACAGATCTGAGAAGCTCAGAAGCCCATGATAAGAAGGCATCTGACAGGTAGGTTGTCCTCCAGGTTTCAGACGCCTAAGGAGCCAAAGTATCGCTTCTGCTACTACTGACAGGAGGTCTTAGCACAAGGCTCTGCTGCCATCCCCAACATGGAAGCAGCCTCAGCTGCTCGACTCAAATGAGATAGATGGCCTGCCCTTATGATATGAAGAAGGTTCCAGGGATCCTGCTGCTCCTCATGACTTTGGCCCTGCTGACTCACTTCAGAACCTGAGCTGCTCACGACAAAAGCCCATTGGGCCCTCACCCTGTATTTGGTGGTGGTCAACCAAGCTGCTCTGAAAACAGCTGCAGGCTAGACCTAAGAGGTTTTGGGGATTACTGAATTATATTACTAGGTTTACCTTTTTCAGGACTGGAGAATGCAGCTTCCAAGTAAGTTTTCACTTCACATAAACAGTAGAGGTGTTCCCACTGGCAACCTCCTCTGGGGGCCAGGGCACTGAGCTAATTCTCAGTAGGATGTGGGACCAAATATAGGCCAAAAGCCTAAGTTCTGTTGCTCATGCAACTATAAGGCCAAACACACAGTCAAGAGACCAGCTGTATTCTGTTGTATTCAGTCCTGACTACAGGTAACACGTTCTTACGAAGAACTGATGGGCTCTTTTGCAGCCAAGCGGGAAGAATTCTAAGAGTGTGCTGCTCTCTATTCCTAGCCCAACCACTAATTTGTCCAACTCCAGGGAAGTCACTCCCCTTCCTGGGAATGGAGAATGTGCTTCAATTAAATAATCTCTGGGGCCTTTGCCTGTGACTATTTTCTCTGTTAAGGAATCCATGAACATTTTCTGTTAAGGAAACCAAAAATGACAGAACAAGAAAGACTTTTAGATAGTAAATTCAAAAAACATTTTTTAAAAGTATAGATTTGGAAATGGAAGGCCAGAAAGGAAAACTGAGAAATCAAAGGGAAACGTCTTAGCCTTTTGAAAAGATGGCGTTCAATGAATTCTCAGCCAAGTCAGTGATCCTGTCAAACCTGCCTTCGGGCACAGGATTTCCACATCAGTTCCCTGAGCCCTATTTTCTTGCTATAGGTATTTAAACACAGAACCCTTCTCTTGCTCCTACTGGGCTGCTGCTTTCTGGGCCAGGGTGGGTAGTTAAGGCAGCAGGCGCAGGGCCGCCCCCTCCACCCAGGTGGGTTACCTGAGCACAGTCACGCTCCCTCTGCGCACCGGCAGGGAAAGCACTGGTTCCGACACCCGAATAGGCTTGAACTGGAACTTGCAGCCGAAGCACAGCGCAGAATCGCTAAAGAAGGACACGGACACGATGGGGCGCTCGAAGATGTGGATGGGGTCCACGTGAGACACGATGCAGCCGCCGGGCTGGTAGTCGTTGATGACGGCGCTGTTGACGAAGCCCTCGGGGATGACGCGGTGCTCCACCAGCTTTTGGATCACCAGCTGGTGCACCCACTCGGGGATCTCGTCCACGTCGCCCGGCGGGTAGAGGCGCTCCTGGCCGGGCCCGCGCTTCTGCAGCTGGGCGCCGTAAGTGTAGCCTTCGCCAAAGAAGTACTTGTTGCGCAGTGGGGCCCGGTCCACCGTGTGCTCGTTGTACAGGCCCTTCTCAGCGCGGGACACCACCTCGTCGATGCGGGCCTCGATCTTGGCGCACTCGTCCTGGCTGAAGAGGCGCATCTGGCGGATGCCGCTCTTCACCTTGCGCGCCTCCTCCTCCTTCTGCAGCTGCTGCTCCTCGTAGTCGCTGCGCTCGGGGTCCGAGTCCTCCTGATACTTGCGCTTGGCCCCGGACACCGGGTAATGTTCGGCGGCGGCGGCGGCCGCGGCCGCGGCGGCTACGGCGGCGGCAGCTGCAGCGGCGGCCTCCCGGCTGCCGGCCTTGTAGTTGTCCCGGGACGTCATGGACTTGAGCTTCTCACGCAGGTCCGTGTAGCCGCTGGCGGCCGCCATGGCCCCCACGACGCTGCTCTAGGGTCCTCCGGGGCGGGCGGGGCAGCCAGGCATGGCTCTAGGGGGACGCGCCCCGGGGACCCCGGAGGGAAAGGGGGTCCTTAGCGCCGAACTCCCATACGTGAGCTGGAGACCCGGCGGGGGGGCGTCGAGGGTCCAGGCGTGGGGTCGGGCCTCAGGGGCGGCGGGTCATGCAACGACAACGGGGCTTTTTCCTCCTCCACCTTCTCCACGTCCCGGGGGGCAGGGGCGCCGGCAGCGCCTCATGCCGCGGAGGGCTGCTGTGGAGACGCGGCCCGACTCCAGACCAGACCCTCGGACGCTCGGCCCGGCCCGCACTTTAAAGCTCTCTTCACGACGTCACGGGCCGCCAGCCCGACGTCCGCCAGCGCCGCTCCTTAGCGGGTTCCTCACCGCGCAAGCGTAGTGCTGCCGGCCACCGCGGCTCCGCGCGCTACAGGCATGCGCGTGCGTGCAGGCCGGGTCGGCAGAGGCGCCGGCGCAAGCGCAGACCGGGACCGCTCGCCGTCCGCCGCCCCTCCCCCACTCGCTGAGGGGCTTCGAGGGAGCGCTCTCAAACAGCAACCTGTCTCCACGCCGCGCCGCCTCCAGGACCGAAGGGCTCCCTCTACAGGGTGCGCTCACACAGCCAACAGTGTCGCCATGCCGCGTCACGGCATCGTCCGAATGTCGGCAGACGCCTCAACCCCAGCGTGCAATCACCAGGGAACCGCCACAACCCAGGCCGCCCCGTTACCTCCCTCTTTGGCACTTCCACTTCTTTAATTGGGCCGTCGGTCACGCGCGGGGCAGGCCCTGACTGGAGTTTCCGGAAGTCGGTTGGTAATTATGCCCGTCAATCAGGCAGTCTCCTAGGCTACTGCGTCCGTCACTTAATTAGCTGCTGGGAGAGCAGCGAGGACCCCTAAAGGGGAAATGGGTGGCTGAATAAGTGCCTGAATGGAGACTCCGCTGAGGAAAGCCCTCAGGATACCTAAGGAAACTTCTAAAACTCGCGAAAACTTCTCAGATTGCGGGACCGAGAGCACCCGGCCCCAGCTCGGAACCCAGATAGGAATGTCAGGCAGAAGCCGGACACGCGTTGTAGGGGTACAAGCCAGCCTGCTGTCGCGGCCGCCGCCGCCCGGAGCAGACGTTCCGCGAGTCACGTCCCGGTGACGGCTGGCGCGGGGGCGCGCTGGGGTGGCGTCAAGCCTCCTGGGTGCTGGAGATGAGCGTGGAGGCACCTCCTCCGGCAACGGCGGAAGAAAACTCCAGGAATTGAACGGGAGCAAGGATAAAGCTAAGCTATAATGACTGAAGTCAATTCGAAAAAGTTTTGAAGCAGTCAGCAAAGGCGTGGCCGGGCGCGGGGTCTCACGCCTGTAATCCCAGCACTTTGCAAGGCCGAGGGGCACGGATCACTTGAGCCTAGGAGTTCGAGACCAACCTGGCCAACATGGCGACCCCATCTCTACAATTAAATTTTAAAAATGAGCTGGGCGTGGTAACAAAACAGAAAGGCGTGGCTGTGCAGGATGCACTGGAGGGCTTCAACAAATGGGGGGTTCTGCTCAAAAATCTCCCATGTCTCCCCAGGATAAAGTCCAGCTGCATTATTTGGCGCTCAAAGCCTTTCTTCAAGACTCTTAGGGCCTTCCCTCCTCCTCTCCCCTCTTTCCACGTACGCTGAGCCCCAGCCCTGTCATCCTGTAAGCCAGGTCTACAAACATACTGTGTGTCACCTCCTGATATTTGCCCAGTCTGTTTCCGCCACCTGGAATGCCAGTTCCTTATCACCCGTCTCTTTGTTTTTATTTTTATTTTTTGGGCAAAGTCTCTGTTGCCCAGGCTGGAATGAAGTGGTGCAACCCTCGCTGACTGCAACCTCGACGTCCTGGGTTCAAGCGATCCACACCTCAGCCCCCTGGGTAGCTGGGACTACAGGCATGCACCACCACGCCCCGCTAATTTTTCTGTTTTTAGTAGAGATGGGGTTTCACCATGTTGCCCAAATTGGTCTCAGAAATCCTGGGCACAAGGATCCTCCCGCCGAGGCCTCCCAAAGTGCTGCGATTACAGGCGTGAGCAACCGTGCCCAGCCTGGAATGGACGTTTTTTAAAAAGCTTATCAAGTTTTTACTATGTGCCGGGGCCTATATATGTATACTAACCCAATTAATCCTCCAAACACCTCAATGTGGGGGGCATTATCATCACCACCCTATATATAGGGAAACAGGCCCAGATAAGTGAAATGACCTGCCCAAGGCCATACAGCCAGTATGTGGCCTAGTGACAATTCAAACCCAGGCAGCCTGGTTCCAGAATCTGTGCTGTCCTTCACCGGGGCTCAGAGAGGGGAGGGTCCTAGCTCAAGAGCAGTCAGGGAGGAACACAGGGAAGCTTCCAATGCAGTGTCTGCGATATGAGAGGCTGTCTCAACCTAGAGGATGTGAAGAGGTGATTCATATTTTGGCTCAACCTGGAGGATCCACTTCCAAGAGGCTGCATGTGGTCTATGTGGTAGGCCCCAGTTGTATTCTGAAAGCCAAGAGGGCCCCCTGGTTTTCACTCTTTGCCACATTATCCCTTCCTGAGCCCCATAGTTTAGCTTGACTAGGGAAAGGGTTTAGGGCAAAAGTAATTAGTGAGCCTGACACCCCTTCCCCCCCCCAACACCATGTATGATCTCACAACACTAAGAAATGAGGGGAAGAGGGCAGGCCTCAGGGCTGCCTCATGTTGTAGCCACTGTGCTCTGTTTTGGGGGGTCCCCACACTAAGAGAGCACCAGCGCTGCTGGCAGAACCCCAGGGGCAATGTAGGTGAGCTGCTGCCAGCTATGGCCCCTGCACAGTGGTAACTTGATTGACACCACACTCTTTCTGGTGAGTTCCTTACTTTTCTCACCTCAGGGTTTGCTTCTGGGGAAAGTCAACCCAAAGCAATGGTGAAAAATGGGACAGCCCTGTGGCATTTGTATCAGGGACTCTTTCTTGATCCTCTCCATCCTAGGATGGTCTAATTGCCCCCCTGGTCCTGCCAGCTGGACCTTCTAATCTCTCCCAAATTACCAACTTCTACCCACCCCTGTCACTATCACTAGAATCCATGCCACAGTTTACCAGTTAACACTGCAGCAGCCCCTCTGGTCTCCCCAGCTCCTACATTCACTCACTGCTTGGTGGTCAGCGTGGCTTTCACAAAGTACAACCTGTGCAGGCTGTGCCACCCCTTCCCCCTCTGGCAAACCTTTGAAGGCTCCTCATGGCTCTTGGGATGAAATCCTAAATTTTTTTTTTTTTTTTGAGATTGAGTCTCGCTCTGTTGCCCAAGCTGGAGTACAGCGGTGCGATCTTGGCTCATTACAACCTCCACCTCCTAGGTGCAAATGACTCTTGTGCCTCAACCTCCCTAGTATCTGGGATAACAGGTGCTTGCCAGCATCCCTGGGTAATTTGTGTGTGTGTGTGTGTGTTTTTTTTTTTAAGACGGGGCTTCACCATGTTGGTCAGGCTGGTCTTGAACTCCTGACCTCAAGTGATCTGCCCGCCTTGGCCTCCAAAGTGCTTGGATTACAGGCGTGAGCCACCACGCCCGGCCTAATTTTTGTATTTTTAGCAGAAACGGTTTCACCACATTGGCCACGCTGGTCTCAAAGTCCTGAGCTCAAGTGATCCACCTGCCTCAGCCTCCCAAAGTGTCCCAGCATGAGTCACCACACCCGGCCCAGAAATCCTAAATTATTATTATTATTTTTTGGAGACGGAGTCTTGTTTTGTTACCCAGGCTGGATTGCAGTGGCATGATCTTGGCTCACTGTAGCCTCTGCCTCCCGGGTTCAAGCAATTTTCTTGCCTCAGCCTCCTGAGTAGCTGGGACTATAGGTGCATGCTGCCACACCCAGCTAATTATTTGTATTTTAGTAGATGGGGTTTCACCGTGTTGCCCAGGCTAGTCTCAAACTCCTGAGCTCAGGTAATCCTCCCGCCTAGGCTTCCCAAAGTGCTAGGATTAGAGGTGTGAGCCATCACACCCAGCCTAGAAATCCTAAATTCTTTTTTTTTTTTTTTTAAGTTGAAATCCTAAATTCTTAATGTAGCCCAGAATCCCTACTCAAACCATCTTTGGAGTCCTCTTCAGTCTCAGATCCTGCCACAAGTAATGCGTACCTCAGGGTCCCTGCATATGTTGTTCTCCTCATTCCCTGGCTAACTCCCACTCACAGGTCTCGTCCTAGTTTGTGGTGATTTGACTGTGATTAACTGCTAGTGCCTGGTATTTGCCTAGGTATTTGGATAGCTCGAATGGCTGAATGAGTAGGTAACTCTTTTCTCTGCTGCCATGGATCTTGCAGTTATGCCCCCATCTACCTATCTAGTCTCCCATTCCCAAGCCAAGTGCTCCCTGCCCCACAGAAACTCCCCAGAGAACCAGCACTTTCCAACAACATTCATTCGTTTATTCTTTCATTCATATGACAAATATTTTTAAAGTGCCTACTCTGTGTTAGGTGTTCTCTGGTTTCTGGGGGATACAGCAGGAAACAAACACGATTTTCTCTGGAATTTTTATCCCGCTCTCTTCCATCTATTCTTAGCAAACTCCTACTCATCTTTCAAAACTCAACGCTAATGTCCCATTTTCCAAGAAGCCTTTTCCCAGACTTCTCCCTTATACCACTCTCAAACTTGTGTGGTCCATCAAGTGACGGGGCTCTGGTGTTGGGGATACCCAAGGAGTGAGGGAGGATCTGTTCGTAGGCAGTGAGTCAGGGGCCTAAGTTACCTCCAACTCCTGCCTCCTCCCTCAGGCTTGTTTTCCAGCCACTTAGAAACTCCACGGAGAAATGGCTGCCAGGCACACCTTTTGTTTGTACAGAAATAACCAGGCTAACTGAAATCCAGGCTAACTGGCAGTACAAGGAGGGGCCCCTTAGGAGGACAAGTAGGGCTGGGATGTGGAGTTGGAGCAGATTCCAGTGTCAGACCCTGAGTAAACTGAAGGCAGAGTCCAGTTTATCTAGGCAACTGGTGTGGGGCTTCTGTGCCATAGCAGGAGTTAGGGGCAGGCTCTGCAATAGGTACAAGGCAGGAGGCCTCAGGGTCCTGTCTTCTGCTCCACTCCACCGTGGGCCAGACATTGAAAGTTCCTCCTGCTATCTGACCTGAGTCTGCATGCTGCCATTCCATCCCAGCTCAGGAAGGGTCTTCTTGGGTTCTTGAGGATTTGAGTTGCTCCTCCTGCCTCCTTTTGGTGTCCTCCAAGGTTCTGGCCCCTTATAGGGGTCATTGATCCTGAGAGATCCACTGACTACCCTGAGGCCACACAGTGAGTCTTCTGGCAGAAGGTACTGGAGGGCTGGGGACTGGGTCAGAGCAGGGTGATCTCGCTGGGGGGCAGTGTGAGCCGCTTCTCACGGGCACTGAGCAGGTTCTCCACGTGCACGGCCACCACGCGACAGAGTTCCAGTCCCTGCAGGTGACAGTGACAGTCTACACCCATCCAACCCTTCCCCAGCTCTTACCTTGGAGTGGGACGTGCAGAAGGGAAAGGTGGTTGGGAGATAGGTGGAGACCACCATTCATTCAGGAACCCTTGTTCCCACCTCCCCCAGGGCCTAAGAGGAGCATGAGGAGCTGGAAGAATGGTGGACTGTGGGCTGCAAGGGGTAAGCAAGCAGGAGATCAAGTGCCTCTGCCAGCTTTGCTCCGTGTGAGCTGTGTGACCCGGGGTCTATTGCTTTGCCTCTCTGAACCTCAGTGGCCTCATCTGTAA